TTTTTTTTTTTTTTTTTTACAAATTAAGAACAAGCTGCTGTATTTTAGTAAAAGTCTTTTGGGTTATAATATATGCATGTATTATTTTCTTTTTTTCTTTATTTTATTTTAAAGATGTAAGAAAAATGAAAAATTTTACTAAAATTGCAAATCAGACTGACATGTTAACATTGAGATAGGTTGGTCATATCTGCATATGATGGGAACCATAAAATGAAAGGCAATGTTTCTTTTGTAGTCTTCCACCTATTACCCAAGAAGAAGCTTTACATATTTTGGGCTTTCAACCTCCCTTTGAAGATATTAGGTTTGGTCCTTTCACAGGAAATACAACACTTATGAGGTATGAATACCCACTTACCGTTTCTCTAGTTTTGCAAAACAATGTCATAGATGTGTGTTGATAGTAAACCATGTATTCAGCTGCTATGCCTCAACCTCTCATAGGTATGCCAAACTTAATATATAACTGAATTTCTTTAGAATTGGAATAATGGCATCTTTTTTGTAGAACTTTTGCTATGAGCATGTCTTCTTGTTATTTTCAGATGGTTTAGGCAAATTAATGACCACTTCCACGTAAAAGGATGCTCTTATGTTTTATATAAGCCTCATGGGAAGAACAAAACAGCTGGAGAAACTGGTAGGTTAACTATATAGTGCACGCGCGCACACACACACACATACACACACACACACACACACATACACACACACACACACACACACACACACACACACTTTAGGGTTCTTCTTAAAGACTGGCCATTTTGATTCATGGGACATTATATCAACCCTTAACACATCCTGTTACGTTCATATATTTTTATCCAAGAGGGAAATCATAGTAATCTGTAAGACACTTTTCAATATACAGTTTAACATTTTTACCTTTTCTGATATTTTTATGAAGAACTTTTAGAACTTTAAGGCATGTCATAAACACTTTTTTAACACACCGTTTGTATTGCTTGGGTCCATGGTATGTGCATGTGTGGATTTGTGAATGTAAGGATTTGAGAATATTTGCTGTTAGACCTGGATGGTAACATATGACAGGACAACAGTGACAAAATTCTATTACAAAATAGTCTTGGTTATAAAGTAGATATTAATGGAGATTATCTCAAGGATTATTTTAGTTATGTGCAAATTAATTCTGTTTAAAAATTCTCTGTTTAAAAATTTTTTACAATAGACTGGGTGCAGTGTCTCACGTCTGTAACATGCCTATGCACTTTGGAAGGCCGAGGTGGGTGATTTGCTTGAGCCCAGGAGTTCAAGACCAGCCTGGGTAACATAGCAAAACCTTATCTATACAAAAGACAAAAAAATTAGCTGGGGTGATGGTGCATACCTGTAGTCCTAGCTACTGGGGATGCTCAGGTGGAAGGATTGCCTGAATCCAGGAGGTCGAGGCTGTTGTGAGCTGTGATCATTGTGATCATGTCACTGCATTCCAGCCTGGGGAACAGAGTGAGACTCCAACTCAAAAGAAAAGTTATTGCAATAATCTCTTGACAATACAAATCAGAAAATGATAATACATTGGTAAAGAAAAAACTATTCTGACACTTATTAAAATGATAAGGAAGACTTTATTTAAGACTGTTGCGAAAGGATTATAGCAGTAGGGATGAGAGAAATCAGGCTCAGCTGTGAATATGAAAAAGATAGCTGGGAATTTATAGCCAAGGAGCAGAATGAGGGGTTCAGTAGGTAGAAAATTACCAATATTATAATTACTTATAATCTTAATTATAAGCTGTCTTATCAAAGTTAGAGGATTCTACCTAAAATGGCCTGACAGATTTCCTGCTAAAGGCAGGTCAAGGGCTTAGAAATCAAGGGTTGTGGTGACGGTGATGAGGACTTGATCATATACTAAGGGTGAGAGAATGTTCTCTAACTGACTTAGCAGGATTCTTGCTAAAACTGGACACGGAAGTCCAAGGTCGAGGCCTAGTCCAGAAGATCAAGGAATTGTCAAGGAGTTGTTGTCAACAGACAGTATATGGTTTAACAAGGTAAAGGATTGAACATATAGAGTAGGATATATTTCTATTGACCTATATTGTATCAAGTTGGCTACGAGTAAGGCTAACTTGAGATTACATGTTGGTTTCTACACATACTAGTTTTGTGACCTTGAACAAGTCACTTGCTGAACCCCAGTATAGACTTTTCAAATTTCTATATTTGTACCCACTCCATAGGGTCATTGAAGATAAAAGGAGACATACTTGTGACATACTTAGCATCCTGTGTTACAAAGAGTAAGAACTCAGTTTGTGCTTTTACTTTGACTGAATTCTGCGCATTCACATGGGATCTGTCTGTCCCTCTGGAAAAGACAGCTTGAATGATGTGCTGGTATTTTTTGTTGTTTCTAGTGAAACTGTCAACTCACCACTCTCAGTAATTGATCAGGCAATGAAAGACTAAGAAAGAATGTATTTTTCTGGTTGCTAATTTTCTCTTCAGCTATGTCCAGTTTGCTTTTTATACCTTCTATTGAGTTTTCGTTTTTTAAAAGAATTTTTCAATTATATTTCTATTCTACAATATCTAGTTCTTTAAAAAAAGTTTGTTTTTAAAAAAATGTCAGCCGGGCTCAGTGGCTCAGCCTGTAATCTCGCGCCTTTGGGAGGCTGAGGTGAGTGGATTGCCTGAGCCCGCAGGTTCAAGACCCACCTGAGCAGTGAGACCTCATCTCTACAATAAATCAAAAAATCATCCGGGCGTGGTAGCGCATGCCTGTAATTCCGGCTACTCGGAAGGCTGAGGCAGAAGGATCGCTGGAACCCAGCAGGCAAGGTTGCGGTGGCTGGAAGTGGCCACTGCACTTCAGTCTGGGCAACCGAGTGAGACTCCAACTCAAAAAAAAAAAAAGTCTCTAATTCCTCATTCATATTTTCAAGTCCCTTTTATTTTTTAAATATGTTAAAACTTTTTTTCTGTATTTTCTCTAATCTGAAGTGCATATGTCTGATTCTGCTATCTCTTGTTTGTTTTGGATCTCATTTGAAGTGTCTTGTTTCCTCGTGGAGGATTCGGGTGTCAAACTAAAGTCTGTGTTATTTCAAATCTCATTTGCTATTCTGTTGGTCCTGGTGTTGGCTTCTTTGAATACTCCTAGTGCATTCTGGAGCTATTAATGTTATATGGTTAATTTTTTAATAGTTAACATATATCATTTTTAGCAACAAAATTGTATATCAATAAAAACATGACTAAACATTTTTTTTTGAGAAAATGCTGTCTATCCATAGCACAAATTTTTTGTTTCTTTGCTTTTTAGGTTGTTACTATTTTTCTTTTTAAAAAAGTATTTGTCCACTGGCATCAGTGTTATTGAGATATTATTATTATCAAGTCAGTGGGTTTGGAGACACTTGACTTTTATAAAATAAGATGCATAATTCAACTTTATTTTACAGTTTTTTTGGGGGTTTTTTTTTGAGTTGGAGTCTCACTCTGTTACCCAGGCTTGAGTGCAGTGGCACACTCATGGCCACCCCAGCATCGACCTGTTGGGCTCAGGTGATCCTTCCACCTCAGCCTTCCAGGTAACTGAAACTACAGGTGCACACTACCACACATGGCTTATTTTTTGATTTACTGTAGAGATGAGGTCTCATCAAATTGCCCAGGCTGTTCTCGAACCCATGGGCTCAGGTGATCCCCTCAGTTCAGCCTCACAACGTGCTAGGATTACAGGCTTGAGCCATCATGCCTGGCCTATAGTTCTTTTACGTTTAATTTCACAAACTATGCCAAACGTTTTTCTGGTCCAAAAGATTTCACAGTCTACTCTCCAGTTATTAGAAAGTATAACAATGGTTCTGCAGGGGAGATAAAGTAATATCTTTTACTTGCTCATTGCAAAGTTTATGGCTGAGATCCATATGTTAAATGACAGATCAATAAGAGAAAGGCATAAACATTAATTTATTATAAGTTTTATGTGGCATGGGAGCCTTCAGAAATGAAGACCAAGAGACCCAGGGAAAATTGTGTATTTTTGTGGACATTCATGCTGGAATATGCTTGGAAGACAAAAGGGTATGATCTAATGGTAATAAACTGCGGTGGAGGGACTTAGCAAGGCCTGTTTGTTCAGATTTTTCTCGGCATTCCTGTGTGCCATTTCTTATCTCTGGATATGGGGCAGAAAACCCATCACATGAGGGTCTTTATGGAAGAAGGGAGGAAGAAGGTCAAAGAGTGACCCTCCTAGGTTTTATGGCCTGCTTTAGGGAAGAAAGGGTAAGAAGAATCCTAGTTTCTATGGCCCAAGTGTGGGGTGGTGGTGGGAGAAGGTTAGAGAGAACTTCCTGCTTCTGTGTTTGTTTTCGCTTTTGTTTTTTATTTCCAATTTCCTTCAGCATAAAATATTCAGTATGCCAAGCCGTCATATTTTGGGGTATCCTGTTCTAAACTCCGTCAATTCTGTTCATTGAAAGTCTTATAAAATGTACAACAATGATGCTCTGTACCCTGTAAATGGAATACATAGCAGTTCACTGAAAGCAGGTGTAGGAGTAAGGGGGTCACAGCACAGCGATTAGCAAGAGGAGCCAGTCCTGCCCTTCTCTTGGGATAGCATGTGTGTGACCCTTTGATGCAGGGTTAAATGGAGTGTCCATGCTCAATCCATAGAATAAATATTAGTAAAGCTTAATTTCTTTAAATAATATGACAATCAATATAAATTGATGTTCTAGTATTTTGTTTCTGTGCCCCAAGGGATCATCTTGTATAACCACCGAAATGTGCCCATACTGAAGATCATTAACCAGAACACCAGCTGAAAAACTATTTTTATAAAAGGCCCAATGATAAACATTATTGGCTTTGAGGGGCACATGGTCCTGGGACAGTCACAACGCAACACTGCCCTGAGATCTTAAAGGTAGTCATAGACGATACATGTAAACGAGTAGGTGTGGCTGTGCCCCAGGAAAAACTTCATTTATGGACTTTAGATTTGAGTATTACATAATTTTCACCTCACAAAATGTTGGTTTTGATTCTTAACATTGTAAAAAACCAGCTTAGCTCACTGCTCATTTCAACAGGCTGCAGGCTGCAGGTTGGATTTGCCTGTGGGTGAGAGTTTGCCAACCCCTGGCCTGGAGATTGAGGCCCAAGTTCCTCAGCTTTGTACCTGAGGGACTGATGTCAGAGTATCCCTACCCACAATCTCCTCTGGTGTTTAGCCACACTAGGCTCCTCTCTCTTCTTCACAAAGTTGAGGTCATCCTTAGGCCTTTGTGAGCTGTTTATGGGCCAACCTGGTGCGGAATGTATGGGATATGGGATTCTTACCTTGGTGGATTCTTATTAATCTGTCCATTCGTGCCGGGCTCGGTGGCTCAGCCTGTAATCCCATGCTTTGGGAGGGTGAGGTGAGTGGATTGCCCGAGCCCGCGGGTTCGAGACCCTCCTGGGCAACTTGGCGAGACCGCATCTCTACAATAAATCAAAAACTAGCTGGGTGTAGTAGCGCACACCTGTAGTTCTGGCTACTTGGAAGGTTGAGGCAGAAGGATCCCTGGAGCCCAGCAGGTCGAGGCTGCAGTGGCCAGGAGCGGCCACTGCACTCCAGTCTAGGTGATGGAGTGAGACTCCAACTCAAAA